TTTATTTGGATCTTTTTGAGACAGGGTGTCCCTGTAGCCCCAGCTGTCCTAGAACTCACTATGTAGACCAGGCTGGCCTTGAACTCACAGAGATCCACCTGCCTCTGCCTCCCGAGTGCTGGGATTAAAGGTGTGTGCCACCATGCCCGGCTAATAATGATTTTTTTACACATACAAATACGCATTCTACTTACAACAATTATCAATAATTATACCAATAATTTTGCAATGTTTCTAACTTCAAACTTACATAGAAAAGTTAGTTTGACCAACAACAGCCTCATCTCTCCCTAACTTCATTCTTTTTCCCCCTTGGCTTTTCCGCAGTATAAAGAAGGAGAATGGAAATTCTGGTATCAATGAGTGAGCACTGGCAAGTTAATGAGGCAACTAACACCAACTACTATTTCTGTCTTTTAAAAAGACACACGTGTGTATGTCTATGTATGTGTTTGTACATGTGGGGGCCAGAGAAGGGCATCAGATCCCATGAAACTGGCATTACTAGCAGCTGTGAGCCACCTGATGCGGGTGCTTGGAACCAAACTCAGGTCCTCTGGAAGAGCAGTAAGAGCTCTTAACCCCTGAGCCATCTCACCAGCCCATTGTATTTCTGTCTTTACAATCATTTTAACATTAGATTGTTAAGTTATTGCATATGGTACTTGTCAGGTTTTAAAGCATTTTCACACACTTCACCTTCTGATCCTGACATGACACCTGCCTCATAGATCCAGCAGGGATTATTATCAACATTTATAAATGAGAAACAGCCCAAGGAAGTGGAAAATCACACATGCGCAAGCGTCAGGGCACTTACTCCACAGGTAGTCTTCTCATTTTGAAGTGTTCACATTAGTCATTTGTCCACTGTGCACCTAGTAACTTAGCAGCCGAACCCACAGTAAAGCAGTCAGGGTGCCGTCACCTCCGTCACCACTGTGACTTTGGAAAGTTGGTGCCATTGCTTCGGTGGCCATTGTGAATTTGCGTAAAGCCTGTCAGCTTAGGCACCAACGGTAGTACATTCCTTTGCTCAGGACCTTCCTCATACCGAAAAAAAAAATCTGTCAGACTGTCTCTAGGCAAAGACTCACATACTAGTGGCATAGACAGGCCATCATCACCTGATAGAAGACTGCAAGTCCTTGTATCATTTTTGATAGGATATGTGCCAGAAAAATGACAAAATCTAAGATGTTATCAAAGTCCACTATCTTATAAGACTTTTACAGATAGTAAACAGAATTGCTTATGGATAAAACCTGAGTTCAAATACTGACTTTTGTAAAATTGAATTGGACACACACACACACACACACACACACACACACACACCATATTAAATTAATATTATGAGTAAAAGAAGATGGTGGTAGTAATATTATCCACTGTGAACTAACCTATAAAGTTATAGAAAGTTGCAGAACTTGTTGCTTATTTGGACTATACTAACTAACCTGTTAATACAGCCAAGTCCACTATTGTCGTACTTCAAAAATAGAGTTCTCCTCCCCAGCATTCTTGTAAAAGTTTAGTTCTTTATATGAGTAGGAAAGGACAAAGGCTAGTGTGATTTGTGGACGCACCACTGATAGAGTAGAAATTGAGAAACTTGCAAACGCTAAGGTTCCCTTTATTCAACCTTACTTAGTCCTTCCAGATTCCAGGCAAAATGAATAATAACAAGCATACCAGAAACGGGATTATAGGTAGCCGCAAACTTTCTTAAATATCTTTAGAAGACAATAAAAGTCAATTAAGTGTGCCAACAAGATAGTTCAGTGGGTAAAGGTGCTTACTGCCAAACCTGTCAACCTGAATTCAATCCACATGGTAGAAAGAACTGATTCCCAGCAGGCTATCAACTGACTTTCACACACCTGTTGTAGCACATGTACACCCATCCACGTACAGAAAATAAACAAATGAAAAGAACTTGAAAATCCGCCATAGGGACTGGAGATGGCTCAGTGGTTAAAAACACTGGTTGCTCTTATAGAGCACACATGTGGTACAGTTACACACATGCAGGCAAAACACTCATACACACATTAAAAAAACAAAATAACAACAACAAAAAAAAACTGAGTCAACAAGATTCTCAGCAGGCGAAGGAGCTTACTGCCAGGCCTGTTAACCTGAATTTGAATCCCAGGACTCACATGATGGAAAGAGAACCAACTCCCACAGATTGTCCTCTGGCTTTCACACTTTTTCTGTGGCACACATGCCCTATGCCACCCCACCCCACCCCCGCCACAAAGTTTTTTTGAAAAAACCTACCCACACGTATTTTGCCCACTTAGAAAGTTTATTATTTCTAGTTTATGTGTATGAGTGTTTTGCCTCTACCACATACGTGCAGTGCCAAAGGAGAGTATTGGGTACCCTGGAACTGGACTTATGGACAGTTGTTAATCACCATGTGGGTGCTGGGAATTGAACCTGGGTCCTCTGGAAAAACAGCAAGTGTTCTTAACCACTGTGCATCTCTCCAGCCCCTACTCAGATAGTTTTAACAGCTCTATCCACATTTAGCAATACTAGTGCCCAATAAAGATATCATTAATTACATAAGAATTTGCTTGGTGAGCAGCAGGAGCTTTGGAGTCCAGCAGACCTGGGGTACGGTCCAGAGCCAGCTTTTCAGCTTCTTTAACCCTTAGCTATTTCATCTTCAAAGCAGAGAAATGATAATGCCACAACTAACAAAGTAGCGTAGTTAGCCTTGAATAGTCACTGTGTGCCAAATGCCATGCTTAGCACCTTGTATAAGTTTAAGTCCTTACTGTAGCCCACTGGTGGGATGGTGTAAATGACTGTCCCTGTAAAACAGAAAACTGAGGATTAGAAAGGTGAATACACTTAACCCCAAATAGCAGCTTCCATAAGTAATTGCGCAGGAGGCAGAAATTCCATCCAGGCCAGGAAGATGCTATAGTTGCTATGTTTTCCTTCATTGAAAATTCAGTAAGTAGAGTCACGTGTGCAAGCTTTGGTTCCCCTTTGTAAGCAGTAATATGCATTAGTCAGACTTGGGAGTCTGGTCTGTCTCTTATTTAAAATGAGCCCAAACTAACCTTTTTAGAAGAACCTACACTGACCAGTCATAAACAAGCATTGCGTTGACATCATGAACAGAGTAGAGTATAACAACTTTAACAGTCGTCAGACTGACAGTTCCTCACCCAGAGAAGTTTAATATTTTTGTTTTGTTTTGTTTTTTGAGACAGGGTCTCACTATGCAGCCCTGGCTGGCCTGGAACTTAGTATGTAGACCGGGCTAGCCCAGAACACACAGAGATTGGACTTCCTCTGTCTCCCAAGTACTGGGATTAAAGGTGTGCACTACCATGCCTGACCCTGACAGTTTAAAATTTTTAATAAATTTTTGTTGCTATGTATAGTAATGTATATGTTGCATGACTTGATTTAGTCTTTAGATGAATGTACAGGATTATGGTGATTAAAATTTATTCTAGATTTTGTGTTTTTTAATTTGTAGATTTTTAAGTGTATTTTTACAGGAAGAGTCATCATGGAAAAAAAAAACAAGAAAATACTTTGTTATTTATCTTAGTGGAACTGGATGGTTGTATCCATAATCTTTGTGTGTGGGGGGTGCTGAATGAGGGTGGGGGGAAGAGATTTTGGGAATGGACGCATTCTTGTGCTATTAGGGATCAAATCTGGGGCCTTGCACATAAGCATCACCCCAAAAGATGGCATCACCACCTTCAGAAAAATACACCCAGCACTGGCCCAGCACAAGCACAGAGGCTAGATTTTGGCCTTTACTGACCTGGTAGACATCCAGACCTTACCTAGTTGCCTAGTTATTCTGAGCCTCTCTTTTAACTTTTGAGGCCTTTGCTTCCTTTCCTCTGTTCCTGCCTCTTATTCATACTAGGAACAGACAGCATCACTACAAGATTTACCTCTGTTTAAAACCAGTTCTTGGGGCTGGAGAGCTAGCTCAGCATTTAAGAGCACTGACTGCTCTTGCAGAGGACCCAGGTTCCATTCCCAGCACCCACATGGTGGGTAACAACCATCCGTAACTCCAGTTTCAAGGAATCCAACGCCTTCTTCTG